GTCACTGATGGGTGGGAGCTAGATGGTACTGCTGTCACTGATGGGTGGGAGCCAGATGGTACTGCCGTCACTGATGGGTTGGAGTCAGTCGCTGTTAAGAAAAATATGAAGTAAAATATGAATGAGAGACAAATCCTAAGTCTCTAATGAAAATAGAATGTCATACATGTACCTGTTGGCATCTTGCTTGTCGGTGTTGTCGGTTTAGATAGCTGAATGGGAAGGAAATTGTCGTTTGCTATTACGAATGGAAGCAGATCCTTTGGTACTCGCATCTCGAAAACTTCAGGTGCAATCACTTGAAACCATAATGTTGATAAATGCTTCAATATTTCTGACATTAAGGATTCATCTCTCTCTATTCTCTCGATGGATACTGGGCCATTGGTAGCATACAACACAAAGTCACAATATGCTCTTTCAGTAACCAGCAGTTGGAGTTGTATTTGATGATAGTAGCTGTGACTTTTCTTCAATACACATTTTCCATCCTTTATTATGAAACATTGTCTATCCAAAGTGTTTTTTGAAACAACAGTGCTGCCATTCTTGATAATCTTTTCAATTTCATAATCCTTAAACAACTTTAAGGATTTGATTTCGATTATTCCATCTTCTTCAACTAGGCCATCAGGTGAGCAAGCAAGGAAAGGATATTTTGGGTTGACCCACAAACCAGTAGTAGAGACATTTTTCTTGGTCTGATTTTCATATTTCGCTATTGCTTTGGGTTCACTGTCCAGGCCATATTTCATCCATGTCGTCTGAAGATCACCTTCCAAGCGCCATAGATGATGGGTGATGTACTTATTTGCACGAATAGCTGCGTTTCGTGCACCCTCACTAATCAGCTTTCCGATCTTTAATGCATCTAAAGCCGTTGAGGCTGTAAGTCGAACCAAACGCTCGGAGCGCCAGCTCTCACTTTGACTTTGCCCTTTTGTCCTTGGAAGTTCACCTAGTGCACTGGGTGTTAGATTATCCAGTAATCTATGCACTTGCTTAATCAACACTGCTTCCCTTTCACTACTCAGTTCGTAATCCTTATAAACCATTTTCAACTGTGTCTCCCACATTGAAAGTGTAGTATCTTGGATTGATTGTATGCTGACGACCAACTTATTGATATGTTTTTCGGATAGTGTTCTGTAATCTAAAGGTCTAGGATCGAACTCAATAATGTCGAGCTTTGCTTTCTTTTTTTTTATTGGGATAATCTGTAGTTGAAATGCGCTTTGGTTTTTTTTCCCGTTTTTTACCCTTGTCCCAAGTACACTCCTTGCTGGTACACGGAGTACTAACTGTTGAGCCATGCTTCTTAACATGGTCAACAAGCAATAAAAGAACGGCAACAACATGGCTACATCGACCAAGTGCGGACACCTTGCAAGGCTCACATGTTGCATGAAGCACTGCCCCACTATGAACTGAGATGGTAATCAAAACATTATGGGGAAGCTCGCCACGCATTGACGGCCACACGTGAGCGCGCACAAAGTAATGTTCTTGCGTCCTGTTATCTTCAACATCGTGGACAAAATTACTGTCAACGTACTTTCTTCCATTCTTGAAGGGCTTATCTGTCATGTGTCCGAGTCCCTGATCATCTTCAATGTCCTCGTCATACTGATCACTGCGGGCAGGAAGCGACTCTAAGGCATAGTGATACACGTGCCCGTAGTTAAACAATGATGGAATATTATTCGAAGGAAATAGCCTCCAGTTCTTCTCTGGTGGATCAGGTACGAGAGATTTGTTGTGGGCTAAACTACATCCATTCTCTCGATCTTCCTTGGCTTTCAGCCATTTTCCATCATCGATTCCATGATCGAGTAAATGGTGATTT